TTTTACTCACTGTGATCTTTGGGATGTTCTTTTTTCCTTGGTAAGACATTTTTCGTTAGATTCCACCTTAAAACAAACCGATATTCCCGCTTTCCAGATGCTGCAGCGGCCCTCGCCTGGATAGGAGCTACAGGGAATCTGTCAGTGCGATGTAAAGTGCCTGGTGGTGTGTTACAGGAGCGTCTCTGGTCCAGTCATACGGCCCCTCCCTATACAGGCTCAGTTAGAACCACAATCTTTCCACCAGAGGGCGCAATGGAGAAGCTGGTGATCAGCCTGCAGCCTCCAGCCACCATCCGGTTGTCTGCATTACTGAGCAGTGCTCATTACACATATACAGAATATACTAGCAACTATTGGCCTAGCAGAGACTATTCTTCTCTCAAATAGCAAATTAACCTGAATCAGATGGTTTAAAATGCTGTGACATATCCTGTATCACTGTCAGTGTCATGAAGGACAGTAACTGACCTGAAGAGAGAAAGTGTTGCACAACATAACCCACAGCAAACAAGCAAAGCTCTGGCTCTCTAATCATCATTATACTCATCACTGAATCTTCTCTAGCACAACTACAATTATTTAACTACTTCATAGTGTCATTGCAATACTGTTCACCATACAGAGATAGGAAGGAAAGGACTTTTGCTAAATTATAGTACAGAATTAGTATTTAGTCTGATGTGTTTTATGGTCATTTTGAAGTTGTAAAAACAAATGCATAAAAACAATATAAAACATATTAACAGCTGAGATGTCTTATTTCATAACAGAAGAAATGTAGTGGAATAAATCCAGGATCACAAGTTACAAGGTTACGAGTGTAAATCTTTAACATCTGTCACCTACAGATTTGGGAGTTTTGTTTTTCTAAACAGAGGAGGAGCAGAATGGTGTAGCAGCTGTCACAGAGCCTGTCCACCACATTACACACCCCACATGACAATTCACTACAACACACACACACACACACACACACACACAGACTCACTCCCTCTCTCTCCATATACCCACCCAGCCATGTGTCTCTATTGTTTGGACCTAAAGTGGATTCCCCTTCCACCACCAGTCGTTTCCTCCACCCCCACCCCCTACCCTTCCTCAGTGCTGACGCATCCATAATGAGGCTGTGGGACTGATTAGGAGGTACTAGCTTCATACACACATTGTTTTCAAGAAAATGTTGATGAATATGGTAGAACATTTTAAGTTTAACGTTTAAAGGTTTATGATAAAAAGGCAGTAAACTTTATATGCATAAGCTACGTTCACCACTAATTTAAAGGGAATTTAGCAAGATTAAACATCAATAACCTTTTAATCATTATTTTAAACTGTAATATATATTTATAAATTGGGTGTGAATCATTCAAACAGGACTATAAAGAAAATCATTTCATAATTAGCTAATATCAAGTTTTATAATAACAAGTATCATTTTAAAGCGTCAATGCTCAAAGTGCATACAGTGCAGACATAACCCTTTCTTAACCACTGATGTTTTCCTCCTTTTTTTGCTATAAGAGGACACTTGCTTGCTGGCATGTGTTTTCATGGATGTGAGGCATTACCTCAGCATTCCCAAGCTTCAGAGAATGCATCAGCAGCACACTTCAGGTTCACAGGCCTGCTACCTCTGCAGATCACATTAACCAGCTGACACTGAGAGACAGACGGGGGCAGACGGATCAAGGATGCAGAAGACGCTCAGTCAGGCCATCAAAACTCTACCCACGGAATGTGGCTCCAAATAGAAATAAGAACTGATAACTTTAATATCCAGCAGCCATTTTAAATTATTCATTAACCTGTATCCATCAGCACAATGGTGTTTACTACCCTGACTAGTGGGTGATCACTTCATACCAAAGGATACCAGAGAATTTAGAAAGGGGAGAGATCTGCTGCACAGCTTAGTCTCACTGCCTTTTTTTGTGAACATTTAGAATTTTCCACTTCATGAGTTTATTTCTGAGTTCCTCTGGGTGAAAAGAGCAACAACATCACCAGCACAAGAATCATGTTTGGATAAACAGACACATCTGTGAGCAATGACAAGGGGATGGAGGTGATTTTAGTCTTGCATTTTGATAAGGTCAGGGGACAAAGAGATTTAAAAATATGGTCCTCTCTCCTCTTTATCCTTGCATTTAGGTAGGACACTTGTACATCTAACGTGAAGAGCTCCTGTCCAGCTCCCAGTGTGGCTTCCACCCTGCAGGACAACAAAGAGAGGGGGTGGTGGGTCCTACCCAAAGCAGATCCCTTGGACATCTGACAAACCACTCCCCATTACTCCCTGCATTACAGCAGACAATTGCACTAATAAGCTCGCCAGAAGGGAGGAAACCAATAAAATCTCAAATTTATCAGTGCTCTCAAATGGACAGACTCTTATGGCTTCAACAAGTTTCCCAGCATTGGTGTCTCACAAAAGGTCGGTCACTGCTGTTTCCAGTGAATCAGCATTTGGAGTCCACAGGAGGAGGTGAGACATCAGCCATCACAGCAGCAGACAGTCTTGTTTTACCTTTATCAATACTTGTTCAAGCAGTATTTAGGTTGTAAGTGGGACATCGTAGGGTAATACAACGCATACCAGATCATTTGGACATTCATAACAATTTACTGAATACATTTTAAGTGATAATCTTTTCTAATTAATGTCTTTTTTCTCTGATTTTGTTGCTAAAATCATAAAAGTGCTGAAATACACTCAGAAGAAAAATGAAGAAAATATTGAACATGCTGTTTCTGCATACTGCAAACACTCCAACAACATTATTACAATATAGTAAAATGGAATTTCACTGATTGTCCAGTTTAAATATATGCTACAGCTTTGGCATTGGTATCCTCTAAAGCAATACTCACCATTTAATGGTTTTGTAATCACGATTACAACAAATGCTGTCACTTTCAGACCAGAGCTGACATCAGGCTGATCACATGCCTTTTACCAGACAATAACATTTTATTAAATTCTCTCTGACTGTAATCTATGGCATACTGTATTACATCAGGTCATTTCATAATGTTTAACTCCTTCCTGTTCCTTGTAAAAATCAATTTGTTCCACTCATGCTTTAGATGACACTACGCTAGGACAGGAACAGCCCTGCAATGACTACAGAAACTACTGCCCTCACTTTGTCTAAAGGCTTCTTTTCCTCTCCCAGCCAAAATTGTGTGAGTGTGTGTTTATGTGTATGTGCCAAAGCCAGAGAAAGAAAACCAGGCATGAATCATCATTTTTGGTGTCCAGAGAAAAGACATCAGAACCAGTTTTCCTGTTAAAAACAAGTATATGTATGAAATATTCCATGTGCCTGCTTAGTAACACATACAAATATTATCTTCTTCTATACATCTGTTTTTTTTTTAATTCAGCTTAAATCACTCTTTTAATATATTTTTGTGAATATCTTTTTATATATATATATACACATTAAAGCAATAATAGTGTAATGATTCTGTCTTCTCTGAACTGAATTTGGTTTGATTCGGACTGATTCACTTCGGTCTGTTTCATTTCGTAGTGCTGAAACTTTCAAACTCTCTCTCTCTGTGTCTCTCTCTCCATGGTGCTGAAACATTAAAACCCAGCCTCTGTCACATACAGCTACGTATCACATCATCAAAACATCACCGAGGAGACCTATGGCTTCTAGTAACAAAAGGCCTTTTTCACTGAATACATTGTGGCATGTTACAAAAAGAAAAGCTCATGTACAAATAAAATTAATGATAATTTAATTCCATTTAGCTGCTTTAGTTTCAGGATCCTGGTTTAATTACAGTATATAACCTAACTGCTAGCTGTAAAAACTGACGCACAAACCAGTCTCCCAAGACCACTGCAACCATCGCAACCACTTAAAAACACCATACATTATGAACATGCTAACAATACTTATTATGCAGTATATCACAAACACACCTCAAACCACCTGAGGTTTTCCCCTCATGCTCTGTGGCCTTTCTCCACTGAGTGTCTTCTTTCTCTATATTGTGTTAAAAAGTTTAAAGGTAATATCAGCCAAACAACTGTTGATGAATGTTGGCTGTGGATGGTGTCATTTCATTTGGCAGGCACCTTGTATTTTCTCCTCATTTACCAACTAGACAGCACTCAGAGTTTGCAAACTCTGAGCTCTATAAATTTGAAAATTCTGGATCAGCAGATCTGGAATATGACTTAAATCCAGTGTGGTAAATCTTATGTGGCTGTTATCATTGCAAGTTTTACATGCATTCTAGGCATTGTGTATGGAGTTAGAAGCAAAACGGAAGTTGGCTCTGTTCTCAAAATGATGAAGAATGCTGTTTTAAAACCAGCATGAAGTAATTCTGTTAGTTAATAAATTAAACATGCTCCACAAACCTGAACTCCACTCATGGCTATTAACTATGTGCTTGACGCTCAGATTCTACTGTATCTATTATGCAATGCTGTTAAATTCTCTCTACAATTTCTTCAGAAAGGTTTCATGGGCAGATCTAGGGGGTGCCCAGCAGTGGCACTAGCCACACCCAGAATCTAAATGGCCACCCCTGGTACCACCCTGCCAAATTCAAAATGTCACCCCCCTTTGGGTCTGTGCTCCAGCCTGACCACCCCATCCAAAATTTTATAGATCCGCCCCTGAAAGGTTTATCACTGTCACATATTGCAGTGATGTGACACAGTGATACATAAGGGCAGATTTTAAGTTTCATTTATAGAATCAGTGTTTGTGGACATTCAGGAGAAAGTTATCTGTGTGCTTAAAACTAAAAGTGAGCCAATAAGAGCTGACAAAGCTTATTACAACCTATTTCATATTATTGTCTAACACTGATGTTTGTCCTGCATTTAACCATCAAAAATACCATTTATAAAAAAGAAGATGGTGCCAAAAGTAAAAAAGCAAACATAAAAGGCACGACAGTGACGCACACTTTGGAAGCCATATAGTGACATTCAGGCTGCACTGCCACGCAAAATTTAGTCTCCTTACCTTTTTATCTCCCGGGTTTTGAAACGCTTCTTGACCTCCGCTGGTTTTTATTTCATCCAGAGAAGAGTCTTTTCCTCCTTGTCTACTTGCTGTGGGACTTTTATTATCACTGGCTGGGCTCCTCGCCTCCTTACCGAGCTCTGGTTTGGCTGTCCTCGGGGTGCGGGAGCCTCTTTGGCCAACGCTCAGGGCGTCAAAGTCAATGGTTTTACTCTCAAATGCGCCCTCGACGCTGCAAAACAAGCCGTCGTATTTCTGCCGGGGCACTTGGTCGGCAGTGCCAGGGCGGGCGAGATAAACCGGCAGGTCGTCTCCCTTGTCCCAGTTTCCCCTGCGCTCTGCCATGGTGGAGCCCTGCACAAGTGTCAGGGAGAGACGGTGAAACTGGTGCTGAAGTGGTGCGTGCCTGTGTGTGTGTGTGTGTGTGTGTGTGGTGCTGCGAGGAAGCCAGAGAGTTGACAGACAGGCAGGAGTTGATTTAAAGCCAGAGGTACAGTAGCACTGTAATGGTGCACGTATAGACTCTGTTTGTAGATAGAATTTCTGTAGCCACCGAAAGCACAGACAAGAGATGGGGCAAAAACCTGCTTTTAGGCTCCTGATAACCCCCACTGGTTAATCGATTAGTTAATTAACCTGCAACAAATTTGATGATTGCTAAAAATCATCAGATCTTTGTGGAAAAATGCTAAAACTGTGATTTTCTGTTTTCTACAACAATCAACAACTTTGGGGAATACTGATACAAAAATAATGACATGTTGTTCACTGAACAATCATTCATTTATTATTATTATTAAGTTAGTTGGCAGTATTCTTACAGTTCTCTTATGACGGAGTAACATAACCTTACTTGAGATTTTCTGTGGTTCAAACAAAAATAGAGCAGTTTAATAAAACACAACTTTAAAACAAAGGAGTGATCAATTTAAACTAAACAGTTCAGGTTTAGATTTCTGTACAACGGGGGGCCATGAGATGGAGTAAGGAGGCCTTGACATAGGCGAGTTGATACTGAACTTCAGTGGTGCAATTTTTTTTATATAATTTTGTCCAGTTCGATACTGTATGTTGATCCAGATAAAAGAGTGTTGAGGTCTGGGGCCCCAGTGTGGTGACCAGAGAGTCCTTTCCTTAATCTACAATCTTATTTAGAAATGAACTAAGAGCGCTGTCCACTTTGCGGCTGTCCTTTCAAAACCATATGTACACCCTTGCTCTCTGCCTCAGCCCCTTGCAAAGGTGAAAAAACTACTGAAAACTAGGATCAAGCTGATGTTTCTTCAAGTGCTTGTGTGGGCCTTGAAAGGTGGCACCCCGGGGTGATTACTCACGCCAGCATGAAATGAGACAGGATCATGTCAGCAATGCTGGAGACAAGCAGCTTCCAGGCGGCAGGCTTCAAACCGAGAGACTGCTGAGTCAAGAAGGAAACACAGGAAACAGGAGTATCACTGAGTAAACAGCAATGCAGTTATGTAAAAGTCATATAGCAGCATGTTTGACAAGCTTGAGACAACCTCCCTGTATATTTTAGTTTGTAGGATTCTTACTCTTCTTTTTTAATTCCAGAAACTGTGGATTTTATCCCAGTACAAATCAGTGGGGAAGACTT